ATCTCCCATACCTGAAATATTCTCTCAAACACATCTCCACCTGTTCAAACTCCATTCTAACACTGACTCAATCCACCCAGTCGGGAAACTTTCCAGATTCCCCACAGCTGGACGCAAACCCTCTGAAGTCTCAGCTGCTCTTCTGTGCTTATGTTCTCTACCCCCTGCCCAGCACTTTTTCTCCACCACATCTGGTGCCTACTTTTGGACATGTCTTATTCCCCCTGCTGGACTCACTGTCTTTACTTCCCCGAATCTCACACCATGTCTGACTCACAGCAGGTACTGAGAAAAAATGCACTGAATTAATGCATAACAAGTATACTTTGTTAAGAACAGACTGTATGCAAAATTCACAAATTCTAAGGCACTACCCCAGTTTAAAAGTCCTTGGCAAATTCCTGGCCCCCTTTTCCACCTGGGAAACACAATTTTCTGTTTGCAAGGGAAGAAAGGCCTTGATAATTTGGGGGGCCCAGGAATACTTCTTTAAAAACAGCATCTGAATGTATATTATGTGTAAATAAAGCAAAAACATATGGGTTAAGTTTTCTGTAAAGTACATACAGATTTTATGAGAAAAGCGAACAGGCTAGGAGAAACTGGGATCTCCAAAGCAGACAATCCAGGGGTCTTTTCTAATTCCTAAATCCATCTAGCGCAATCTTGCTTTAATTATACGTTGACATTTCTCTTTGCTTTGGTGACCTTTCTGGAGTCAACACTTCACATTCCAAGGGAGAAAAAATAAGGAAGGAAAAGAAAACGGCTTCCTTCACTTGTCATTCCTCCCCTCTGCCACCTTCCTTTCCAGCGACACCAAGAGTCTCTCCTTCCCTCTCCAGAACCTAGCGCTCCTCTTTTGCCCTGCTATCCAGTACTGTACATTTCTCCTTTCTCAGACTATTCTTTTTAACCTTTCCTAGCCTTACCGCGCCCCCCACCCCCACTTTTCTTCTTGTCCTCAAACACTCATTAGAAGTCAGGACTGTCTCCTTCCCTCCCTATTTTCAAGTCAAAGGTAAGATCCTCTGCTGGGGGGACGTGGGGATCAGTTATCAGGGAGCCCCATGGCTAACATGGACCCCATGTCCATGTGAAGGTCTGCTATGCACCCTACCCTGTCAGCAGAAATCTTCCTCATAGCAGAGCCTGGACTCTGAAGTCCAGAAGAGCAAGAACAAAGAGCTGGGTGTGGAAATGTACAAAGATGAAATTGGAGAGCAAAGGAGAGGTACTGGGGAAACTAAGTTAACAGCACTGCTAACTAATCCCAACTGACACGCTCTCACCCCCAAGCCACACCACAAAGGCCTCTGCTTGGAAACCTAAACCCAGCTACACAGCAAAGAGTCTCACATTCAATGTCCACCCCCTCCCTTCCCAGTAGAAAGCCTCGGTAGGTTAATTAATGTCAAGTGTGCCTTGACAGCACCATCTAGACACAGAAAGGAAGAGAAGGAGAAGCCCAAGCCCTCGACTTAGCTCTAGAGAGCTCCATCTCTGAGAGCGAGGCTGCTTTCATCCGCTCTAACTAGCCTAACGGGCTCACCAGTGCTACTTGGAAATTCCTGTGAGATTTGTGAAGGTGAAAGCAGCACTACTTCCCAGCAGAAAAATAGCGTCCTTATCCTCTCAGCTTCAAATAAGGGAAGAGAACAGACAACTGTGCCACGGAACGGACATCCTTAATGCAACAGCGAGACCCAAGCCAGTATTTTCACAAATAAAGTACATAAAAGTTCCCTAATTAGGATTTAATCAAATGATAGTTGAGCTATGATAACACTGCTTCCAGGCTTGTAGTCTAATTATTTTGCTTTCTAAAAATGAAAAGTAGCCATCTTTCCATGGGCTGCCTGGACAGCTTGGCCTACAGTAATGAGGTTTAATGACAGTTAGACAGGACCATAAAAGGAGGTATAAATTCACCACCACTGGCTACAAAAAAGAAAGAAACTAAAAACCTTCTTATAACCATAAACAAGCTGCTTTTACCATACTGATGAAGAAAATCCCCAAATGGCTTTCAAGCTTAACTCTTCCATGATAACCAGTATTAGCACAAGCCAGAACTGCTCTATGCAAAAAGCAAGTGCAACCAGGACCCAAGAAATGCTCTTCTAATGCTTTGCTCAAAGAGACTATACCTTCATTTGCCTGTCTCTTACCCACTTTTCCAAGCCCCTCAATTTTTTTGCAGTTTTTGGCCAGGGCTAGGTTTAAACCCACCACCTCCAGTATATGGGTCTTGTGCCCTACTCCTTTGAGCCACAGGCACTGCCGTCATTTATAACAAATTTTAACTGAACAGCCAGTATGTACCAGGTATCATTGTAAGTGCACACAAAAAAAATCTCTGCCCTTAAGAATCTAGCAGGGAGAAAGAAGCAAGTTAAGAAAAGAGGTTTTATGGTATGTCAGACTGGGATAAGTATTATGGGATTCAAGTCCCAAAACATGGCTTCCATGCCCAAATTGTGATCTGGTTTCCCAACAGGTCACAATGTTCATCTGTGCATCCAGTACCTCATGTATCATAACGCAATCTCAATTCTTAAAAATCCTTTTGAGCAGCCAAGTGTTTGAACAGTTTTCAAATTCTCTGAGAGGCAAAAGCAGAGCAAAGTTATTGGCAAAGTGACAGAATGGGGGGCGGGGGAAGCTGAATGTTCTTGAAGGAGTCTAACGTATTTTTAAAAATCATATATTCCTTTGATTACAGATAAACAAGGAACAAGACTAGTCACTTAAGAGGTTACTCCTGTCAAACCAGAGATTCCTAACCTGGAGTTCACAAATGCATGTGAACCCAAAGAAACCATCAGCACAATCTGGGGCAGAGAGGGGAACTACAGGTATGTATCTGGGGAGAACGTTAGTAACTTCTGTCAGCTTCTCAGAGGTCTGTGATCCCCCAAATTAAGAAGCACTATACTAAATAATAAAAATGTTTTTAAAACTATATTTATGCCCTTGTTAATAGTAAAGGTACACTTCTAACACAGAGTCAGCATCTTCATTTTGTTCAACAGGTGCAATCTTTATTTTGAGGGAGTTGGGAGAACAGGAGAGACGCAGGCACACAAGTTAGTCCTTTTGAGTTAAGCGCTCCAGAAGCATCTGAAACCATTTTCTCCATGTGTTCCCCACAGAGCTGTCCCGCACCAACCTGTAAATGCAGACCAGCTAAACTGTTTGAATTGACTGCAGTTCCTTCAAATTCTGAATCCAAATACAAACTTCCACGGAGCAGAGCTAACACCAGCAAAAATCACACTCAAGTCTGAACTATCACCAACAGAAACCTCTCAGATATTAACAGAACCTTCCCTCATGTTACACACGGAAATTCTCTCTTCAGTTCTTATAGAGGCAGAAGAGACGCCTCCTCCTCCTCCAGGTCAGCAGTTCTCCTTGCTGCCTAACTTAAAATCCTAAGGTTTTTTGAGGCTGAGTCTCAATATGTTGCCCTCAGTAGAGTGCTGTGGCATCATAGCTCACAGCAACCTCAAACTCTTGGGCTTAAGCAATTCTACTGCCTCAGCCTACCAAGTAGCTGGGACTACAGGTGCCTGCCACAATGCCCAGCTATTTTTTGGTTGTAGTTGTCACTACTGTTTAGCAGGCCTGGGCCAGGGTCTAACCCACCAGCCTCGATGTCTGTGGCCGGTGCCCTACTCACTGAGCTACAGGTGCTGAGCCATTAAAATTCTTGTTGAAGGTAAAAATTTAACAGAATACACAAGGCTAGAGAGCCATTTAAAAGAGCTCCTCGCATGACTCTGGTTGCCAGGGTTAAAAGTTAGTGGTCCAGAAATGACATGAAGGCTATGTTAACCAGTTTGATGGAAGTGTTTTGGATTGTGTGTGAAAACACCACACTGTACCCCAGAAGTGCATTAATGTACATAGTTACCATTCAATAAAAAAGGAAAAAAAAAAAGAAGAAAGAAAGAAAGTTAGTGGTCCAGAACAGAATCAGCAAACCTTTTCTGCAAAGGACCAACTGGTACATACTTTTGTTTTGTGGGCTCTCTGGTCTCTGTTGCAACTACCCGACTCTGCTGTCGTATCATGAGGGTAGCCACAGAGAATGTGTAATTGAGAAGAGAAGAACAGTAATTTGGGAAAAGAGGGACAATACAGAACTATGCTTATTTCTAGAATTTAAAATGTTGAGTGGGTGTGGTGGGAGGAAGAGTATATTAAAGCAGTTTCTGCTCACCCGGAAAGGGATCTCATAATTCAAGCCCATCTCAACCCCAGCCATCAAATCCTAGGAATGTGCCTCCCCCCCCACCCTGGGCCCAAGGTACTGTCTGGGCCCATTTGCATTTACCCACCCTGGTTTCTCCTCATTGACTTGCCCTTCAGAACAGCCAGGTCCAACCAGGAAGACCCTTTGTGAGGCAGGGCAACCTTCACATGTGCAGCGCAAACCCCGGCTGAGTCCCTCAACCCCCACTCTGATGACGCGGGTGGTCCTCTGGCTCCACGTCACTTCCTTTTAACTTTGTTCTTTTTTTTCTCTCTCTCTTTTAAGTTGTAAAGCCCTAACTTGATCAAGAGTATAGCACCACTAGAACACAAAGAATTTGAGAAATCCAAGGACAGGAATGAAAGCAACAAAAAATCCAAACAGTTCACAATTACCTTGCCAATATTCACTTGCATCTCTATTAAATGTTTCCTCACTAAACCAGAGACAAGGTAAGAAAAGACTGGGTAAGGTTCAGGTTCATGGATGGCCATCGAAAGACAGAAGCTCAATGAGAACTCAGAACCAAGCTCATCACAACAATAATAAAATCGTTTTTTTACAAAAAGAAATGGGAAATAAAGATAATGATAATGAGTAGTTAAGTAACTTACGTAAAAGCTAAAAAAAGAGAGAGAGAGAGAGAAAGAAACAGGAAATCTAAGAGAATAGTTACTTGTAATATGGTGACAAGCCAAGACCACAAAGTCTCTTAAAAAGAAAAAAAGAATTGTATTACCTTTTCATGGTTTTCGATTAAGATTTCCACAACGATATTCTGAAACTTCAAATCCATGATGGCAGCAACAGTTTCTTCCTGTGGCCTCATCAGAGTCGGTCCAAAAACCACTCCTAAATTTGCCACCGTCATGAGGTTCTGCTTAGAGTGATTTGAAACACTAAAATTGATAAGGAGGAAAAACAGTCTGTTTAACTAAAGGAGCAAAAACTGTGGACTGTACCATATTCAGTAACTCTATTTCCAACGGAATCACCCAGCCTCAGCACATACCCCTGAAACAAGTAGATCTGACAGGCCCCAGCCGCTGGGCCTCTGCCTGTTCTGTTACTTCTCTCTTGTGCTCTCCTCTGGCCACAGTGGCTTTCAGAATAACTCCATGTACAGGTTTCCCTTGATATCCACAGGGGACTGGTTCGAGGACCCTCGTGGACACCAAAATGCAGATGCTAAAGCCCTGTGATCTGCTATATGGAAGCTGTGAATAAAAACAGTCGGCCTCCCTACCCATGTGCGCCTATGAATACTGTGCTTTCTTTTATTAAACTTTTTTTTAAAACCTCAGATTAATACGAGAGTACAATTAGGTTACAATATTTGCACTGTTAGGTAAAGTCCCTGGTTGCAGTTGTGTCCCACACCAGGAGGTGTGCCCTATACCCTTAAATACTGTATTCTCAACCAGCGGCTTGCTGAATCCCTGGATGCAGAACCCACAGTTAAAAGTCTACAGATTCAGAGTGCCTACTGTACAGGCGAAGCTGTTTCCCTCGAGAGCCTTCATTTACCATTCCCAACTGATCAAAACACACCCTCCCTCTTCTTGCTTATAAGGACACTAGACCACATGGCCCTTTTGTAAAAACAGCTTCCCAAGCATGCAGAGACTGGTCTGAGCACCCACACTCAGGCCTTCTGCCCAGTAACACTGTGCAGTGAACAACCTGGACAACTGTTCTCAGGAGCCCTGCCATTCATGCAGAGCTCAACTCCAAGATTTCATCCTCAAAGAGATCTTCCATAATAATAATCTTTACACGTTCACACTCAACATTCATCCCCTATCTCCTTCCTCTTTGTGTTTTAACCCCTTATCATTTGAAACTATTTTGTATTTTTAACTTGTCATGTGTTTATTCTTTTTCCCCAAGAAAGTAATCTTCGTGAGAGTGGAGGTTCTGCCTATCTTATTCAACTGTACATCCACTAGCACCTAAAAAAGGCATTCGCTAAATATTTGTTGCCCAAATGAATGAAAGGCTATAGGAGGAGTAGGACCGTTAGCCAACTGCAATATCCTCCGGCCTTCACTTGCTTTTAATGTAAAATAAAGGTTCTAAGTCTTCCTTAGCTTCTCCCATCTCTAAAATTCTTAGTGATAGTGATTTGAGAGTCATTTATATTTGAAGAAACAGCTAATTTCTCCACTGACTTACTCGATTTTACTCACTTTTTAAAGGAAGAGAAAAAGAGAATGGACCCGATGAAATAACTTCCCATTACTGAATTAAGCAAACATAAGGGCATGTTCAAACTTAGAGCTAGGTAGGTGTGAAACCAAGTTAAATTTGCTAACAAACTTGAAATCACATTTCCAAAATCTGTGTATGGGATAATGTAGAATATTCTCTTCTTCCCTTAGAATCAAATCCTGAGTTGCTGGCAGTGATGTTAAACAAATAATTACACAAGTTCATAAAAGCATCGTATTTCAACGTCTTGTCCAAAACACACACAAGGAATCAAACGCCCAGCTTGCCCTTCCAGGTGTGGTCCCGGCATTGTGCGCGCAGCACCCGTTCCCACTGTCACAAATCCAGGAACACCGCGCAGCACCCATAGCGAAGTGAAGACAGTCAAACGGAAGAAAGAGAGGCTTACTTGGTTAAGTGTTTCACCAAAATATCCAACATTTCTTTATTTTTCTCTGGCAGTTTGTGTACCAAGAAATGGATTGCATTAACGCGAGATTCCGGGCTGCCACTTTCTTTAAAAAAAACAAAGGAAAAGTAGTTAGGAGAATAGACAGAATCAAATATACTTCCCAAAATCAATAATGACAACAGCTCACCTGTTCAAGATCATCAAACAGAGAATTTAAAGATATTTTGCCACCTTTAAAAGGGGGGGAAATAATCTCCCTATTACTCATCTTCTAATGCCTCCCGGGTGAAATCATTTTCTTTCCTGGGTTGATATGTAAGAACCGAGAGCTACGCAGCTTCTCCCGCTGGCCTGCTGTGCTTCAGGCCCAGTTGTCGTCTGTCTTCTGGGTGGAGTCTAGTCACTGGGTCACCACCCCACAGTGGGATGCAAGTAAAACATCCCTCCTGTTAACAGGTGAATTCTATCCCCCAAAGAGGTTGAAGTTCCAACTCCTGGTCTCTCAGAATGCGACTGTTTTAAATGCACTTGGAATTTCATCAAGAAGTAAGATATGCAAATAACTAACATAAAGGTAAGAGTTTTATTCACAGAACCCTAGAAACAGAGGGCACATGGGGACGCACCAAGGTCCATCAAGAGGCAGAGGAATACTGGGCAGGAGGGGCAGGAGATATGGACAAGAGTCTTTGCAGTGGTTTCCACAGAAAGAATGGAGCAGGGAAGGCAGGCTTAGCATTGGTTGATGTGAAGAGTTTCAGTGGGCCCGGGGCACAGAGGCTGTCGCCCGCTGCCTGGGTCAGTGTGATGAGAGCAGGAGTGCAAGTGCATACACATGAGACCGGATAGTTCACGTGTGAAAAGTCTCCTGGGTTTTAGTCCTTAGGAACAGGGCAGCCCTGGAAAGGACAGTCTCCCAGGTCAGTGGGGCCCCAGATGTCGAACAATCAGAACTAAAAGGCATTCTTAAGGCAGGACCTGATTTGGAAATAGAGTTGTTACAGATGTCAATTAAAATGAGATCAGTGTGAAGTAGGGTGGGGGCCTTAATCCAACGTGACTGGTATAAAACACAGAAGGAAGATGGCCACATGAAGAGTGACACAGGGGAGTCACACGACAGCAGAGGCAGCGATGGGAGAGAAGAACCTGTAAGCCAAAGGACACTAAGGATGGCTGGGAACTGCCAGGAGCTGGAAATGGGGAGGGAGAACCCTGCTTGTGGCCATCAGAGAGGGCAGGGCCCTCCGGAGCCCATGCTTCTTGCTTCTAGAATTGTGACAGAATACATTTCTGCTGTTTTAAGCCACTCAGTTCCCAGTACTGTGTTACAGAGCCCCGGGAAACCAACACATTCCCTCTACCCTTCAAACTTTGTAATTAATTACCTGTGCCTCTTACGAACAATGGACTCAAATTCCCCTTATTCTAACCTTGATGAGAAAATTATCAAATAAATCACTAAAATGCTTGTTACTGGGGATTATGCTCGAGTTTTCAGGGGTGTCAAAGTCATGACTGGTAAGAATTAGGTACTAGGTTTGCTGCAACAGATAGGAAGGTTACAAATTGCTTTGGAGGTTCACACAGAGCTGTCAAGGAAGCTCAGGAAGGGTCTCTGAGACTGGGAAAGTTCAAGGACAGAAGGGAAGGGCTGGGGGTGCGTTACAGACGCAGCAAACAGCAAGATGACAAGCACAGGGCCTATGCAGAGACAGCCCCTCCAGTACACAGAAAGGCCCCCTGTGGTCTGAAAAGGCAGATTTGAAGAACTCATCTTTACTGAGGTTCTGATGAAGTTTGATTTCTTGATCTGGAGGCTGATCACAAGGATATCTCCACCTTGTGAAAATTAATTAAGCTGTATATCGATGTGTGCACAAATAACATTTCAACAAAAAGTTCACTTACTGAAAATTACCAACAGTAAATCTTACCCTAAGATAAGGTAGTAAATTTTAGGTTTAATCCTGTCATAGGTTTTCTTCCTTTTTTTAAACAATGAGATGTACAAGAAGCCTATTCATCTAATACACCTCGCATATCTCTCCATGTCACTGAATGGAGCACCACACCATCAACTGTATGAACATTTGGATGGTTTCCCATGTTTGCAAAGTTAAGTTTGTTCCAGTTTTAACTCCCAATAATAGTGTTTAAGAGTGAGAAATGAGGTTTTAAAGCAGAGGACACTGAGGCAGTTGTTGCTAAAGAAAAAGGAAGTTAAAAGGCTAAGAAATTAAAGCAGAACATAAAAAAAAGCATATTACATAATAAAAAAAACTTTAAGATACAAACTAAATATATCACTGAAAACAAAAGCATAACCATCTAAAGAGTTAGGTGAAATTCTCTGGAGGGAAGCAGACTTCTGAAGTGAAGGAGGGAGGCAGGGAGGGAGGGTGAGGTGATAAATTATAATCTAGTTCTTAATCTGCCATTAAAGTCAAGATTTTACCAATGCTGGAAGAAATAAAAATATAAGAATATGTATAACAATTTTAATCCACAGCTCTGATTTTAAAAAGCAGTAAAATTAAAGCAGAAATTCTGAAAAATAGACAGAAGTTCCAAAGGAATGAAAGGATAGTTACTGAGGATAAAAATTTTATATGTCAAAAATTTGAAAACTTTGCCCTAAAACACTACCTCTAACTTTTGAATCTATCTCATCATTAATAATCCTCTTTCTCCAATGAAAATCTAGTTTTAACATTTGAGAATTACTTAGAAACACTACACAAATAGTTTCCCATAGGGGATATAAAGTTCGTTATTTCTTAAAATAGTAAAGTAAGTTTTGAAAAACAGAGTCAAATCTTCCACTCTTTCTCCAGCCCCTCTCCCAATAATCTACCCTAATCTCTTCTGCAATCATGCATACATTTTTTCCAAGTTTGTCTTTTCCCCCCCTTCTTCAGGGAAAAAAATCATTTTTTTTTTCAGTAAGACTTAAAATACAACCACTTTTTTCTCTATTTTATTTTGAAATAAATCAGAGCTTTCTATTAGCAGGCATTTACATATGGCTACAACACCGTATCTTCAAGGTACTCAAAAAAAGTTGTCTAATTGCCCATGATATATACATTTTATATTTTAAAAGAATGAAAGATCTAACTTTAAAAAAAGTCTGGGATGCTAAATTAATCATAACATCAAATCCTGGAAAACGTGCCAGGAAATTAGGAGTTTACTGTAGTAGAAAAAGCATTTTAATTATGAAATTACAAATCGGCATCCACCACATTGTAATGTCCATCTGCTACAAGGCTGTGCCAACTAATGGAGACTGAAAAAGATAGGAGCCTAGAGCTTTTCTAAGACTTACAGGCAGATAAATATTAAATTATTCAATATTTAAAAGTCAAAAGTCAATAATACTGTAATTTTAGAAGGGCATTAACAGTAACCATCCAAGTATTTCTCAAGGGACAAAGGGCTTCAGTCAACAGACAGCAAATGTTCTAGTTCTTCGGGGGAGTTCCCATGTACTGCAAAATTAATTCATCAGGCTGAGAGAGGTGGCTGCCATTTGGCACGCGGTTCCTCCCATTCCCAAATTTCTGAGTCCTTCTCTACCAAGAGCCACGCGTTGTTGTCTTGCTTCCCACACAGTTTTACCAAAAAGGATAGAACATTCTGGTTAAGCAAACACCATGTCTTGGGTCTTATAATAGTTATGTTTCTCATGATGAATGTCTAAAGAACGTTATGGTTATGATTTTGCTTGCCAAGTAACTTGACAATGGGAAGAAAATCTACTGCACACAGCAACATTAAGTAAGTGCTCTGGTTTGCATGACAGCAAAGAGATTTTTGGCATGATACAACAGGCATCCAGGCTTTCACTGGCACTCTCATGCTAAGTTCATTGCGTGTTTTCAACCCTGAAGCATGGTCGTCCTCTCATCAGCATGCTTTATCAAGGACTCTGGGCCCAAAAGGCTGACACGCAGACACTGGACTACCACACTGTCAAGGGTAACTGTAAACTTCAGGCAGTAATGCACCCACATAGATGCCTCCCAGCCCTCCTGTGGGGGACACGCTCTTTTGTATTCCTGCATAGGCCAAGTAAACTGCATATTCACGTTGTGAATTTCCACACCAAAATCCCACTGGGGTCTTTCACAAGACGGATGGTCTCTAGTTCCTTTTAGCAAGTTTCTTTTGAAGCTACCAGAGTTTAATTAACTCTCTTAATTTTCTCAAAGGAAAAAAAAAATTGTTTTATTTTTCCAAAGCATTCAACACTGAACGGGTAAGTCAGTAAGGAGATTACCGCAGAATAAGGAACAAAACAATTTTGCTTTTTGTGGTGACAAAATAGAAATGAAATTCGTATTTGTATCGTCAACTCTAGAAATGAGCCCAGAGGTTCTCTCAGCATCAAACTCTAGGAAAGAAACTGATGAGAGAAAATGAAGGGACCCAGGAGACACGTTCAGAACCCTCAGCAGGGAGGGTAGAGGAGACAATCTCATCACCAGAGAACAGATGGAAACCACTGCACATGACTGAGAAGAATCAAAAATTAGTTTCCAGGCTGGTGTGAGAGGCGGTAACAAAGACTGGCGACGCTCAGTAATTTTAGCAGTCAGCTCAGTGAACAGATAATTAAGCAAAACAAGGTAAGCTGTGCCATTGTTAATGGAAAACGAGAGCTTAACCACCATCCCCATTTTCTGACAATATTCAAAAGGGGAGACTCATTTCAGCCACCTGATTTCTGTAACTGTTTTATTCAATACTTAAAAGTGCATATGCAAAAGATTAGAGGATCTGCTCCCACACGCTTCCTAAGAGAGGCAGTGAGTAGAGAGAAGGGTATTCACAAGAGATTAAAATAAAAAATGAAAGTCTACACTGGAAATCTTGGCCCCTAAAATACACCCATTTAATGTATGTACTTTTTCGCATTAAATAATGTTACTACAGGTCCCATTCCAACCACAACTGCGCTTAGGCGCAAATCCATGCCAATGGCTACAGTAGCAACAGTATTTCTTTCTAACAGTCCTGTTATTCAAATCAGCAGGATGACTCTCTATTACAGTGTCCCCACAAAGTCAGGAAGCAAAGCACAAGGTTTGGTCCAACAGGTGACAACGCTTTCTGCATTTATATATCCCTTTTACCACACTGCTCAAAGATACATTTAGCAAGTTCATTTCCTGTGCCCATGCACTTGACTGCCTATTAAGAAGTTCCTAAGAGAGACAGGAACTTCTTTATCCAGTAAAATACACTGACACTGGGATTTCAAGTATATTGCCTTCAGCTACGGGGCACAATGACAGTGCTAATGACACTAGCTTGCGGTAATTTTAAAACCTTATTCCATCATCACTTCATCTTTCTCCAGTTCTCAAAGGATTCTAGACTAAAATTGGCCCTCTTTTGCTTTTTCCAGTCTCTAAGGCAAACAACATGAAACTATTGTCCTCCAACTAAGTTTAATTTCTCTTTCCCCAGTTTGCCAAAATGCCACAGGGAAGAAATCAAAACAACTAAGCATTTGCTTGAGTTTTTGCCAAGAAAACTTTCCCCCACTCCCTTGATCATACAAATTCTCTTAAAAAAAAAAAAAAAAATCCTCTTCCATGTGAAAACAAAAGTGAATAGAACTCTATTTTTGCCTTTTCCAAAAGCCTATTTTAAATACATAGTCTAATTGGGCCTACAAGTTGCTTCTTTCTGCAACATACTAAGAACCTTTACTCTGGCTGGAGCAGAGACCTCACAAGAAGATAACATTGAAAGCAATGTTCAGGCAGCAGTAACATGGCTCCCTAAGGAACAGCTCTAAGTTTTTCAACAGATTAAACTATGGAATACATCCAAGAGGAGAAAATAAAAGGAAATGAAAATACAATTACAGCTACTGTCAGTGCACCTGTGAAAACCAATACCGCAGGTTTTAGCCAGTGGAACCGAGGTTTGAATTTTAAATAAGGTTCCCTATAATCTGGCAAGTTACTTAACATGTCTCAACTTTCATTTCCTTAACTATTCAATACCTAACACCAGTGTAGCTGAGAAGACCATGATGATTAAACAGCATGTGTTGAATATAAAAAGTGAGCTGTACGATAACAGAAAACAAGAAAGCCTCGAATGAGTGTGACTCACAAAAAATTTAATCACAAAATTCTACCAACTATAGGCCTTTTTCATTTAACATTTCATCACATACAATTCGCTCTCCATCAAATATTGTGTGAGCTTCTGGTATTATCTCATAATATTCCTTCTGTCTGTAATTTACATCTAAGGATCTTTCTATGTGAAGCCGTCTCCAACCTACTAATCTTTTCAAAGCTGCTAAGCTCCCCAACCTTCTGCGAGTTAAACACCTCTGTATTCCCTTAGAATTTTGGTCATGCCATTATGATGTATTTTATGGTATAATGAGAAGTGTGTCTGGCCCAACGCTTGCTACAGAATTGGCTCACGGGGGCAGGAATCCTCCTCGGCTCTACGTATCCACACTTACCAGTGACTAGCACACAGTAGGTAAGCAACGATTAATCTTTGTGAACGAATGAATACAGCTTTTCTTTTTTTCACCTTCTATGTGGGGGGGGAGAATCTTCTAAATTGATTTCTATTTTTAATACAGATTGCAATAATAACAAAGTTACATTTTTCAAGTGGAAGTTTTTGGTTTATAATCCCTATCAACCACAGACTGTATCTATGCACCTCTACGTAATACTTACTAACTGGAACAATGAAATCTCCATGTAACTCGTAGGTCATGAGAGGCTCCGGGAGACTCCTGTAAGCAAAGACAGCTCAGAATTATAAAACAAATCCAAATAGGTCACCTCTCTCGGAGTTTATTTTTTATAAAAGAGTGTTAACTATGTCATGCATTTCTTAATTAACATATAAAACTTCTGTAGGGAATAATTTACATATTGAAAAAGATATATTAATCAAATGGACCACTTTATTAACCTCTATTTGCACCAGGTACTATCAAAGCTTAAGCAGCTACAAAACCCTATCAGACCTAAGCATACAGTATCTCATATCTAATCTTGGAACATACCAAAGTAACACCTGGTTTTATATATAAAATTTCTTTCTACACATTAACACACTTAGGCTAAACACTCCATTGAATCAAAAGTAAGCATATAATTTTGAAATACCATCTCTAAGCTATTAATTGAAGATGCCACACAAAAAATACATAGAAAAGATTAAATAAACTTGAAGAAATAAAATCCTCTTCAATACCCCTACTACAAAAATGAGAATTTTTTACATTTATGCCTTTAAAATAATAAAAGATAAGATTGATGGCAACTAAACAGCATTTTCACATTCTACAAAACAAGTCACATAAGTGCTAATATAAATTTTATCCTGTGATGTAGTGTAAAATAGTACAGTCAGCTTAGCTACCTATCTTTAAAAGACCAGACCAGCTAAGTTTATAAACCCTTAAAGAATACCTAGGTAAGTATCAATTTGTACAGCCTTTTTGGGACAGCAATCTGGCAAGATATGGAGACCTTTAAAAAAGTTGAAATATTTTAATTCAGAAATTCCCCTTCAGATGTTTAATTTTAAAAAATCAAAGATGCATTAAAAACGTCCTTAACCTTTTAAAAAGACCAATAGTACTGCTAGGGTAAAGAAAGTCATTTTATACTGATAAAAAGGTCAACTCGTCAAGAAGCCAAACAATACTAACTAACAGAACTTCAAAATACACAAAGATTGACAGAACTGCCAGGACAAATAAACAAACCCACAAGTACAAGTAGAGACAATAGATCTCTGTCTCACTGTCTGACAGAACAAGTTGAAATTCGGTTAGGATACAGGAGAATTGAACAAAATCACCAACTACCTTCACCTAATTGGCATGCCCTTCATCTAAATGACACTCTTCCCACAAGTAACAGACCACACGTTTCTGATGCACATGGACCACTTACTTCTCAAGATAAACCACATTCTGAGCCATGAAACAAATTCTCAATAAATTTAAAATTTAAATTCTCGGCTCGGCACCTGTGGCTCAAGCGGCTAAGGTGCCAGCCACATACACCTAAGGTGGCGGGTTTGAATCCAGCCCGGACCCACCAAACAACAATAATGGCTGCAACCAAAATATAGCCGGGTGTTGTGGTGGGCGCCTGTGGTCCCAGCTACTTGGGAGGCTGAGACAGGAGACTCGCTTGAGCCCAGGAGTTGGAAGTTGCTATGAGCAGTGAAGCCACAGCACTCTACCCAGGGGGACAGCTTGAGGCTCTGTCTCAAAAAAAAAAAAAAAAAAAATTAAATTCTCAAGTCATACAGAATACGTTCACGGGTTACAATAAAATCTGAATTAAAAATAACAGAAAGATATCTGGAAAACCTCAAAGAAAGGGAAATTTAAAATATTTTGAACTGAAGGCAATAAAAATACAACATATTAGAATTTGAAAGATACAAGCAAAGCAGTCCCTAGAGGGAATTTTATACAACCAACCATGTATATCAGAAAAGAAAAAGGGTCATAAGAGACTTCACTTTGGAGGTCACAAAACTAGGCAGAAAAAGAGTAAACCTAAAGCAAGCAGAAAAACAGAAATAATAAAGATTAGCATAGAAATCAATGAAATCGAAAGCAGAAAACAGAGACAATAAAGTAATCCCAAACTGCTTCTTTAAGTTGAATAAAATTGATAAACCTAGCAAAAATGATTAATAAATAAAAGAGAGAAAACACAAATAACTAATGGCAGGAATGATAAAGGTGAGTATAGAATCACTGCAACTTCTAAAGGTACTAGAAAGAAAGTACTATGAGAATATTAGAATAATATGAAAATTATGAACAATTTTATGCTCATAAATTCAATTTAGATAAAATAGACAAATGCCTTTTAAGACAAATGCCTTAAAAGACACAAACTATAGAAAGCTTGCCCAAGAAGAAACAGATAACCTGAGTAGTCCTACATCCATTAGAAGAATTGAATCTGTAGTTAAAAATCTTGCCAGAGGGCTGGGCATAGTGGCTCATACCTGTAATCCTAGCACTCTGGGAGGTCGAAGCAGGTGGATTGCCTGAGTTCAAGGGTTCGAACCAGCCTGAGCAAGAGCAAGACCCCCACCTCTAAAAACAGCCGGGCGTTGTGGCGGGCACCTACAGTCCCACCATTCAGGAGGCTGAGGCAAAAGAATCACTTGAGCCCAAGAGTTTGAGGTTGCTATGAGCTATGACACCAGGGCACTCAGCCTCCAAGGGCAACAAAGTGAAACTCTGTCTCAAAAACAAATAAATAAATCTTGCCAGTAAGAAAACTTGGGCTCAGATGACTTTGCTGGTAATTTCTACCACTTAAGAAGAAACACCAATTCTATACAAATTCAGAACATAGAAAAAGGAATACTTGCTAACTCTTATCTTATCTTATCTTATCTGTGAGATAAGCACGACCCCCAGATCAGTATTAAAAGCATTACAAGGGAACTACAGACAAACATCATTCATGAATCTAGATGCAACTATCCTAAATAAAATGTTAGTAAATCAAATTTAACAAGACAAATAAAAGGATAATATATTATGACCAAATTGAGTTTATCACAGAAATATAACACTGGCTTAATATTAAAAAATAAATATACAAACAGGGTGCCAAAAAAAAGGATACACATTTTAAGAATGGAAAAAAACTATTAAAATTGCAATAGTTAATACATACCAACAACAAAAGATAAGTGCAAGTCATGTTTGAGCATCTCTTATAATTGCAGAAATCAAAAGTGACTTGAGTATCATAAGTAATTGGGAACAGGAAAGGTACGAAAAAATGTATTCACATTTTAAGAGAGCTTATTGGGAGTAAAATCTACCATCCTGAAGAAGTATACAAATTGCAGGTTAAGTGGATGTGCACGGCTTGTCACTTGACCGGTAATGGTTGGTACCTTCAATTTTCAATTCCCCTTCAAAAAGTAGTACTCAGGTAACATCTCTAAAATGTGTATACATTTTTTTTTTTGCAGTCTGTGTATGTGTCAATGTGATTCATCATACTAGCAACTAAGAAAGAAAAACTGTATGATCTCAACAGACAATTTAGGAGAAAGAATAGTCTTTCCCACAAATGGTACTGGAACAACTGGATATCCGTATGCGGACATTTAACTTTATTCCATACTTGATTTCTTATATAGAAAATTTACACAAAATAGATCAGAGATCTAAGTGAAAACCTAAAACTATAACACTTCCAGAAGAAAATATAAAAGAAATCTTTATGGTCTTGGATTAGGCAAGATTACTTGATACAGCATCACAAGCACAGTGCATAAAAATTGATAAATTTGACTGCATCAAAACTAAAACTTCTCTTTGAAAAACACTACGAGGTGTCCCAAAGGTCCCCACACATACATACATAGGGAAAAAAAGGGACGTCATAGCTAAATGCACCTCCAATTAAAAACTATTCATTACAAAATTCTATAAAATATTTATAAATATTTCTCTATGTATTGACAGATAAGTATTAAAACTTAAAAATATAAACTATGAGTTTGTTCCTTTTCCTTTGGGATGCCCTGTATTAAGAAAATGAAAAGAGACTAAGGAACACACTCGCGAAGCATAATACTAAGAAAGAACCTGTATCCAAAATAGATTTTAAAACTTTCAAAACACAGTAATACGATGACTAAAGTTTTTAAAAATTGGGCAAAAGACAAGGACAGACTCTTTGCCCAGGGATATGTATACATGGAAAATAAACACGTGAAAAAATGTTCAACATTGCTAGGCATTAGGGAAATGCAAATTAAAAGTACAATGAGATACCACTAATATATATATATATATTAGGATGGTTAAAATTAACAAGTCTGACCATCTCAAAAGCTGGCAAGGGTACAGAGGAAATGGAACTTTTGTGCCCTGCTGGTGGGACAGTAAAGAAGCAGATCCACTCTGGAAAAACATTTGTCAGTTTCCCAAAAGGTGAAGGACACACCTACAGCATGACCCAGATACCCACCCTTGGGATTTATCCAAGAAAACTGAAAGCCTATTTCCATTCAAAGATCTGTATATGAGTGTTTTTAGCAGCTTTATATGTAACAACCAAAGGTTAACAACAACCCAAATGTCCATCAACAGATTTTAAAAAGTCATGGTGTATCCATACAAGAGGCTGGCAGTCGGCAGTAGGAAGGAACGGACTACCAGGGTGTGCTACAACACAGATGACTCTCAAACGAGGCTAAGTGAAGAAATCCTGATTTTAAAAGGAGAAAACAACATCTGTACTGTATGACCCCGTGCACGTGAAGTGACAAGAGATGCAAATGAACACACAATAGCCGAAAACAGCACCCTCTAACTTTCCTTCTCTGCCAGAGAACCACTTTCCCTCTTTGCTATTTCCTGCCTGTTCATAACCAGTGGGTTACCCCTAGACGAGTCTGTGAGAAGGGCAGGGGTACAAGGGAGGGATTTCAAAGGGCATGAAACAACTTCTGGAAGTGATGGACAGGTTCACTATCTCAATTATGGTGATGGTTGCACAGATAGCAAACTTACAAAAATGCACACTTGTAAATACGAGCAGCTTACTGTATGTCCATTACACTTCCATAAAGTTGCTTTAAAAAGTAAAAATAGATGCAAAATATATCTACAGGTACATGTGCATGTTCCTTACGTACAATGTATAAAGCTACAGTATACACACACACACACACACACGCGTGAAAGGATACCCACAGACAAATACTCTACGCACAAGCAAAAAAAGCACTGCTCTTATTTGCTCTCTCCCTCCCCTTCTCCTAATTCCCATATAAAGAAGAAAGGGGGTGTTAATTACAACGCAGCCCAAATAAGGAAGAAGAACAACCAACCAGAAGTAAACCTTTGGAGGTTCTGTTTCAATATATGGACAGGCAGGAAGTAGCAAAGAAGAGAAATGGTTATCCGGCAGAGAAGGAAAGTTAGAAGGTGCTGAATAGAAGTGTGTGTGTGTGGGGGGGGGAGAGGACATTTAGAAAAACCATGGAGGACATTTCCTTTCCAATAAAAATGAATTTGTACCTAAATATCTTCTACAAGTTACTTATATCATTGCCATATGTCTAGCCAGGCAATGCAGCATAAAAAATAAATACTGCTAACGTTCGGGAAGCAGTAATAAAAATGACAAGTTCCCCATCCAAAATTTATTGCACTGAGTCACCGCATCTCTCAGCCTCCCACCCAGCATGTTTTTAAGCCACCTTTCTTTGCCACCCGTTGGGATCTGTTGGGGGTTATAAATCATAATATTTACCTAAGCTGGCATTTGCTTCCCAAAAAGTCCCATTCCAATTTCCAGGCTTAAAAGAAGTTTCCTCCAGGTAAAATCATTTTACTAGAAATAATCACAGAACAGCTCATTTGTCCCCTCACAATGGGAAACTGTTGTAATGAACACATTGCTGGAAATCAAAATGATGGTCTGCATAGATACGAAATCATTCAAAGGCAGTCCTCTCAAACACTAGAAGTTTTTTTTTAAAAAATTGCCTCAAGTCAGTAGAAGAAAAAGGGCGATGCCATACATAGGTCCGCCGCACATCTTTTTCCTTCTCCAAGACCCTGGAGGATCTGCTTCTTGTTTTACTTTGGAGCTTTGAGGGGTTGGCTGTTTCCCTCCTTCTACCTCCAACCTCTCATCCAATAAGATGTCTGGGTTATTTGCAGTAAGAAGAATTCAAGGGCAAGAGCTTTTTGGGGCGAGAAGAGCTATATTCAGCTTCACGCCATGGTGCCGTGAGTGACAGAGCTGGAATTCCAACCCTGGCAGGCAGGCTGTCTTCAGACGCCCTGCTCTTGACCATGACACTGTTATGACCTGTTCTGTGGAAAGAAACTCACTTGCTTGGGCCATAACCCTGTTGCCGAAATAGAGGTAGATAAAAACTCAGTTTTCTCCCATTTGGTGCATCACAAAAAAAAAAATAAATAAATAAAAATAAAAAAGTGTCAATTAAATCCTAATTACTGCATTTTCAGTTGCTAAAAATAACACAGGGGAAAAGAACAGCAACCCAACTTTCAAATTTCCCAAGGCATCTGCCATCTTATGATAATCACTTTATCACATTCAGGCAGAATGTGAATTTTGTTAGGAGTGAAGTTATATAATAATAGCAGCCCGCAATGTCGTTCTGGAGGCAACGCTTGCTTAAAAGTGGAATTCCATAGGCGGAAGGAACGTAATGAAAAGAAAAAGGCGACACGACACCAGGGGCAACAAGGAATTAGCTTCAGAGAGCACCGAGATCTGAAAAAGAAATTGTATGTACTAAATAAAAAGATCCTCTAGTGTATTAAACTAATTCCTCCCACACGGAAAAAGAAAGAGTCCTGTGGAGCCGGGAAAAATTCCCTGCCAAAGAGCTGGATTTCTACCCTTAGCTTCTCACCAATAACTGAGTCATCCTGATCAAACCCTTTACCTTCTGTGGGTAACATTCACATATGCAGTCATTATGTTTTTATGTCCCTCACCCATTCTTTGCTTCCTTCCTCTGCAGGCTTTCTCAGCCTCGGCACTAGGGACATTTTGGAACAAATAATTCTTTGGGGAGAAGGGTGGGCTGTCCCAGGCATTGCAGGAGGCTTCACAGCCCCTCCCTCAGCTATCATCCCTCCAGCAATGGTGACAACTAAAAATGTACAGCAGTGCCAAATACCCGGTGGGGGACAAAATCATCCCCAGTCGAAAATCACCGCTCTGATATTTCAGCAATCAGCAGCATGGCTCTAATTGCCGGTGATACTGTCATAAATGGGACGTACAAAATGTCTGTCTTCAGGGAGTTTACACACTCGTCCTCCAGAAGGGACTAACAACACCCACCGTTACCATCATCCTCCCTAAACCGTAGCCAGTCCCGTCACTGGCGATCTCAACATAAGTACGATGACGTAGTCTTAATGTTACCCCTTCATTGAGTGGAATAAAAATGCACTTCATGGTTTAAGAAAAAAAATTAAACCTGTAGTTAACAAAGCCTTTTACATAAAGTACTTGAAAATAGGTAAGCCATACCCATTATCTATTGATAAATTTTAACGTGATTAAAAGTGGGACAACCCGACAACGTAGGCCACCTGACACAACAAAAAGAATACTGCACTACTACAAAATATATTTTTGAAATAAATCAATTAAATAAACCCTAACCTAAATCTAACAGAATGTATTTGAAAACTATTATTTTATAGGAAGTATGATGGCTAGAGAAACGTGGTAAATGACACCAAAAATGACCCAAATTCATCAACCAATAAATGCCAATGGTAGAGGACCCGAAGAACTGCCCAGATGCAAAGATACTTGAAAGAGATCAGCCAAGGGAAACGTTGCCACCGTCTGAATTCTATAGGATTTCATATAAAAAGACTTTTTTGAAAAACACCAGTGAAAACTGAACGTGGACTGAGCGTTGGGGATGAATTCTGTTGGATATATCTTGACTGTCTTTTTTTTTTTTAAACTCTTTTTTGAAATAAATATTCAAGTATTTATAGTTTCAGTAATATGTTTTGGAAAATCTTTAAAGCATTATCTTTAAAAAGTAGCAGGCAGAGAGAATAAAGAATCAAGGGTGAAATGCTGATAATTCCAGAAGCAGGAGAAGAGGCCATGAGGGTGGTGCCACTGATCTCTCTGGTCTTACAAATATGAAATTTTTGGCTCGGCGCCTGTGGCTCAACCGGCTAAGGCGCCAGCCACGTACACCTAAGGTGGCGGGTTCGAGTCCCCAGCCCGGACCCGCCAAACAACAATGACGGCTGCAACCAAAAAATGGCCAGGCGTTGTGGCGGGCGCCTGTGGTCCCAGCTACTTGGGAGGCGGAGGCAGGAGACTCGCTTGAGCCCGGGAGTTGGAGGTTGCTGTGAGCTGTAATGCCATGGCACTCTACCCAGGGGGACAGCTTGAGGCTCTGTCTCAAAAAAAAAAAAAAAATATGAAATTTTTAAAGAAAATTCCTAATTTCCTAAAAATGTAAAACACATAATGTGAGTTGATTCTAATGTACTTATTGGGACCTGAGTAATGAGAAATGACTCTATGCATGCTTTAAAAGAACTGATCCAGCTGGGTGTAGGACCTCACACCTATAAGCCCAGCACTTTGGAAGGCCAAGGCGGGAGAGACCACCTCAAGGTGTTTGAGGCCAGGGGTTCAAGACCAACCTGAGCAACATAGAGAGATCTCTGCTCTACAAAAAAAAAATAAGAAAAATTAGCCAGGAATGGTGGCACATACCTATAGTTCCAGCTATGCAGGAGGGTGAGGAAGGAGGATCATTTGGGGATCAGAGTTTGAATTTGAGGCTCCAGTGAGTTATGATGGTGCCACTCTAGCCCTCGTAACAGACTGAGACCCTATCTCAACAACAACAACAACAACAACAAAAAACAACCAAAAAACAGAAAACAAAAACCAAACAAACAAGAAAAAGATCTGATCCTAGGAGCGTCCTGCCATTTGTTTGCTATTCAAAAGTCCAAGTCCACGAATGGAAGCACAGCATGGAAATTACAGTTGTGGGATTTTTTTCTTTTTTTTTAAGACAGAGGCTCATTTTGCGGCCCTTGGTAGAGTGTCGTGGTGTCATAGCTCACAGCAACCTCAAATGATTCCCTTGCCCCAGCCTCCTGAGTCGCCTTTCTTTCATTCTTTTGTTCACTTCTTTTTATTTACTCTCTCTATATATTTGTTCTTCATCTAATCTCAAGCTTTTTCTCGTAAAATTCCTTTCGTTGTTTAAAAAAAAAGATAATGACTCATAAAAACGCTGAACCCTCTAACTCTAGTCCTATTTTCTATAAAAAGTAGAAAACTATATCTTAAGACTTTGTCAAGTAAACTTTTCAACTAGCTTACTATTTATGTGTCAATCAGAAAGCTTTAAATTCAAAAGGTTTAAATTTAAAATAAAAAATCTTCATTTCAGCCTAAAATACACATAAAATATTCAGGGAATTCGGTAAGTAGACTTCAGTTAATAAATAGCCTCAACAAGTAGTTTCAGAGTGTTTAATTCTTATGTAACTCACATCTACAACAGACATCTATTTCAAAACACAAGTATTCCGATTTTTGTTCTGTTGCAAATTAATTAACAATTGATGTGCCTCTACTATTTACCTCATTTTCTGGGACACTCATAAATTTAGATACCTTATAAATTTTCTCTCTTTTAATAATGCTTAGCTATTGACATTTACTTACAGAGCTGGAGAATGTTTTGTGTCACATCTCCAGATAGTCCATTTTGTTCTCTTGTTACTTCGAGGAGCTTACTTACCTCAAATACTGTTTCAGGGCGCTTGTTATTGTCTTCACTTCCCAATCTATGGAACTCTCCAGGTCCACCTCGTTGCATGTTTTTACATCTAGTGAGCAAGCAAGCAACAAAAAATAATTAAAACCTTCAACATTCAAAGGGCCTCTTAGCCAGCTCACAAAGATTTTTAAATGACCAAACCACAAATAATCCTGTGGTTTCTTACAAAAACATCACATACAATTTCTTTAAACTGCGATAAGCCATGTTTTATTACTGGACATCTCTAGCACTTTAGAAAATCTATACAGAGATCAAAGCAAGAGGACAAGGGTTGGGCTGGGAGTAAGACGGGAGTGGACACAGCACACGATTACCGTCCACAGCTGCAACTCACACACAGCCGTTGCCGTCATTATCATCATCACTGCCAAGCACTGCTGCTCAGCAGTCACGGCTTAGAGTATGTGGCATTTTAGTTGTATATGCACAGTTTTACTTGTTGGTGGCATTATTGCCCTCACACTGTGTAATGACAGGGGACCAGCATGGCACTGTGAATGGCAGTGTGAGTAACAAAATGATTATCAGAATGGCAACTAGCAGCTGGGCGCCTGTAGCTGAAGTGGCTAAGGCACCAGCCATGGGCGGGTTTGAATCCAGCCCAGGCCTGCCAAACAACAGTGAGAACTACAACCAAAAAATAGCCGGCTGTTGTGGTCCCAGCTACTTGGGAGGCGGAGGCAAGAGAATCGCTTAAGCCCAAGAGCTGGAGGTTGCTGTGAGCTGTGATGCTACGGCACTCTACCCAGGGCAACAGCTTGAGGCTGTCTCACAAACAAAAAAAAAAAAAAGGAATGGTAACTAGCCTGTGGGGGAAGGAATGACATATTTGGTCTGAACCTTTCAAAATGGGTGTTCAGTACCTTTCTGAAAAGCAATATACAAGGTTGGACAATTAAGTTCAC